TAATTAACCCTTACCCCATGTTCGGATGGGAGGGAAACGTGAGAGGAATGAAATCCCAGAGGATGGATGTTTTTTTCCTTGTTTGGGCGAGAGGAAAAAGAATGAGAGGAAAGAAATCGCAAAAAATATTTTTTTAACATATATCATTTGATTTTTGTCTTTCAATTTATTATTTGATTTTTAAAACATATTGTTAAATGCACAAAATTATTTATTTTTTAAAAAAATTATTTTTCGTTTTAAAATTATTTGATTTTAAAATACAGGTATGAAAATATTTTTTTGCCAGAACGAAAATATATTTTCTGATATTCTTACATGAAAATATTTGAATAATATTCATTTTGATACAATTTTATTACAAATAATAATAAAAATATAATAAGTATCGTCGTTGTGAGATTTGTTTATTTTCTTTTCTATATATTTTCTCTCATCCATCTTAATAAGATATGTAATAATATTTTTTTTATTTTTTCTCAATTTTTATTCCTTTTGTTTTCTTTTTTCAAAATTTTTTGCTTCATCCAAACGCACCATTAATCTTAATCTCCGCAAAACGTTCCTGGAAGCTTTTAACGTAGTTTTTAATTTTCATTTACAAATCGTAGTCACATCAAAATGTATTGAATAGACTAGATATAAATTTTAATTTATTAAACATAGTCTGGAATGAAGCAGTCATAAAAACATAGCATCAATTAGTAATAAAATAAATAGACTTGAGAGTGCATAAAAAATAATTTAATATCCTTAATTTTGAAATAAATTATATATATAACTAATTGTTGAGTTATACCTAATCTAAACCCAAACGTACAAGAAGATAGAAAATCAAGACTACCGAACCGGGGGTGATGGGAAATAAACACAGCAGTAACATTTAGGGTTCAAAACCATGGTTTATTGACAAACACTCCACTACATGGTGGCTACACTGCATAATATCTTGAACGACGTTGTTTGCAGGCGTTTCTGTGGCCTTTCTTGTTGTCTTCACATTGATCTCCACATTATGCTGGGGACACAAGCAAAGAGCATTAAAACGACTTAGAAGAAAGTATTTTGACCAAAATGGAGGAAATATGCTGCAGCAACTTCATCAACAGCAAGAATACCCTGATAGAACCAAGATTTTTACGGAAGATGAGCCTAAAATTGCCACAAATAACTTTGATGAAAGTAGAATTCTTGGTCGTGGAGGACAAGGCACGGTTTACAAGGGTATATTACCGGATAATACACATGTTGCCAAAAAAAGGTCCAAAATAGGTGGGAATCCCAGACAAATTAAGGATTTTATCAATGAAGTGGCTGTACTTTCCCAAATCAACCATAGAAATGTGGTTAAACTTCTAGGGTGTTGTCTTGAAACTGAAGTTCCTTTGTTAGCTTTTGCGTTTGTGGACAATGGCACCCTCCTTGACCATATAGACCCAACAAAGAATGAGCACTCTCTTTGATGGGAGACCCGATTAAGGATAGCTGCAGAAACAGTCGGGACCATTTCATATTTACACTCTGCCGCTTCTATCCGGATTATTCATCGCAATATCAAATCTACTAACATACTATTGGATCACAATCATAGAGCAAAAGTTTCTGAGTTTGGAGTTTGAAGACTTGTTCCTCTAGATGAAACTCAAAATTACTACAGTGGTTCAAGGGACATTAGGGTATTTGGATCCAGAGTACCTCCTCAAAGGTCAGTTGAACGAGAAAAGTGATGTCTATAGCTTTGGGGTTGTGCTTGTGGAACTAATCACTGGAAATAAAGCAGTTGAACTCAATAGGCCAAAAGAGAGAAATTTAGCTATGCACTTTGCATCTTTGATGGATGAAGACAACTTGGGGAAGATTCTTGACAAGCGAGTGTTGGATGTGAAGAACGCAGAGCAACCAAAGGAAGTTGCTTTCTTGGCAAGGAGGTGCATTAGAGTTAATGGAGAGGAAAGACCAACTATGAAAGAAGTAGCGATGGAATTAGAAGGTCTAATTGCTATGAAAGAGCATCCCTGGGTAAAGGGAGAGGATATGATGTCTGAAGAATGTGAATACTTGCTTGATCACGTAGCTGCTGGATATAGGAAATGCTAGTGCTAGCACTTCAGCTGGCTTTGACGGTGGATATGGGAATGCCAGTGCCAACACTTTAGCTGGATATGATAGCATACGGAAACAAATAGCTTTTGAGATTGCAGATGGGCGATGATAATAATAATTTAATGTTGACATTTCTCATGTATGTATTTGAGCTACTACTACTACTCTTGCCGCTGTTTGCAAGTGCAGGAATTTCAGGTTACACTGTTTTGAAAGACCTGCAAGGGTTTTTAAAATGTCAGAATTTATTTAATACCTTAAAAGTCTTTTGTTGTTGAGGATAAAAGTAAGTTAATGTTATCAAATCCTGAATTTTTACCAGTTGATAATAATTCCATTCTCTCTCTCTCTCTCTCTCTGTGTTTTTTTTTTAAATAGCCGAAAGAAATTATTTCATTCTCTTGATGCCCTGATAGGCAACCAGAATACAAAATTCTAATCAAAGTTAAAATATCCCAAAAGACAACATCCAAAGTTAAAATCTAATGCGAACGAATAACAGCATACTTAAACACTCATGATTCAATGTTGTAAGACGTAAAAAAGACGATTAATAAAGAATGACTGATACTACCAACAAGTTGTTGGTTGAGATGGTAAGTGGTTTTACCCCCGTAAAGAGGAGAACATAAATTCAAATTCTGAGAAAGCCACTTGTTAGAAGGGCTTTAATCTTAATTCTCATGCCTCGATAGAGATTAGTTTTAAGTCCAAAATAGCTTGAGGATACTTTGACTTACAAAAAAAAAGAGGAATGACTGACACTAATGCTTTTAAAAAATATAAATTACTGAATAATTATTATTTTTCGAGCTTAACAAACATTATAAAAAAAAAAAAGTAGAGATTAAAACCGACAGCATATGGCTAAGTTATATATAGATGGTTGTGGATAAACAAAATAAAAGGAAAAATTACATCTAAGGACTCATGCATGACAGAAGTTATATTAAGATTTAGTCGTGGGCTTGAGGTTGCTTTCATGGCATTACATTGAGTTGTACTCTAATATTTCATGTATATAATTATGTGATAGTCAGTCATCTTTTATTAAAGAGCCTTTGGTTATTAAGGATAAATCTTGGGATCATTGTTTATTTTTTATTTTAAAGCAAACTTGAGGTTGACTAGAAGCTTATTTTGACTTAGTGTTAAATAATATCGCTATAACTCAGTATTTTAAAAAAATTCTAACACCTATCACGATGGAAATGATAACAAAATTTTTACGAGTACAATCTTATCAATGTTATACAAGAGCCTAAGATGGTCAGATTATTAAACACAATGGGGAGCGAGCACGTCTGGAGGGAGAGAGAGAGAGAGAGAGAGCATTTGATGTTAATATGCTTTCAGTCGAATTGAAATAATGGAAAACATGTTGACATCAGCAATCCAAAGTCTTCTCTCATTTATAACATATTTAATGCCAAGTTCAGAGTTAGAGTTTTTGGACAAAATTACTCGTGAAATATAATATTCTGTGAAAGTTATAGGCATCTTAAAATTTGTTTTCCTAGGTCTTCTCACATTATAGATCGACGACCAATAATGTGCAGCCATGACCACGTGTGTATAGATCCTTTTGCTTTTGCCTGGGTCCTCCACCTCTCAATATCGTCCTGCGTTAATGATTTGGACGTGCTGTGGAAAAACAAAAATTAAGATCATCAGGTCGTTCATCTACAATGCAAGCTCCTTCCTTCGTCCTTGTGCGTCATTACAGACGAAGCTTCGCGTACTCGAATGATCAGGATTTGAAAGTGTTCTATATATAATAGATACCTAGCTATATCTTATTATTTCCTGTATAGGCACACCAGAAATCCGGGATATATCGATCAGAGAGATGGGTTTGATGAATGCCTTGCATTTGAAACTGGTATTGCTGATCTGCACGACGGCGGCGGCGGCGGCGTCGGCCCAAACTAAACCTGGTTGCGACAACAAGTGTGGGAACGTGAGCATCCCCTATCCCTTTGGCACCAGCAAGAACTGCTACATGAATGAGAGATTTTTTGTGAACTGCACAACCACCACGACATCGTCTGGACAAGCCAAAACAAGTTTGATTTACGATGTTAACGTACCAGTTCTGGACATCTCCGTTGATCCCCCTGAATTGACCGTCTCGAATAATGTTTACAAGCACTGCTATAACTCAAAGCATGGGTTTCCGTGGTACCTAATTCAGTTCGGGAACTTTTCAATATCAAACACGAAGAACAGCTTCACAGTGGTGGGCTGTGACACCCACGCTTCCTTCACGGACCTGAACAGCAGCTTTACAACAGGCTGCATGTTGAGTTGCACGAGCAGGACGAGGTTCGAGGAGGGGGCGTGCTCTGGTGTGGGATGCTGCCAGACCAATTTCCCCGATGCCATCATGAGCTATAGTATCACCTTGACGAGTTCTCGCAACTACACGGACGTGCATAACTTCAACCCTTGCGGCTATGCCTTTGTTGCCAAGGAAGGATCCTTCAACTTCTCATATCGAGACCTGCTTGATCTCAGCAACAGAACACAGTTTCCCCTCGTCCTGGATTGGGCTGTTGCCAAACAGACATGCCATGAAGCCCAGAAAGATCCAAGCAGCTATGCCTGCAAGCAAAACAGTGTATGCAAAAGCTCAGAAGGTGGTATGGGGTACTGCTGCGTTTGTAAAGAAGGTTTCAGAGGCAACCCCTACCTCTCTCACCCCGATCTTGGCTGCAAAGGTATGCCACAAAGCTACTCCGTTTTCAACTTTCGACCACGTTATTTTTGGTCTATATGTTTTAATTAGATTATATCGTGTGCATTCAGCTTTGCCTCTTTCGCTGCTGGTTCTCACTCTTTTGCTTTTAATTACCTAAGGATATAACATCTAGTGCAAGTTTGACTTTTATATAGCTATGCTTAGAGGTATACTGGCGATGGTTATTTGAAGAGTAGAAGGAGAAAAGATATAGAACAAAATTGGGCACGTAATCTTCAAGGCGCGTGTAACTCTACGTTCTTTAGGTTTAATTCATCTCTGTTTATTTCAGTCTTCGGAAACAAATTGAGTTGATCGGTAAATTTTCTTTAAAATATAATAAAAGCCCTTGAGTATGATCTGCACTACCAAAACTTAAGTCAGCGCTACAATAACTTTTATAAAGTGATAATTTGATTTTATTCCTGTGTTCACTCAAAGATAAAGGTAATATGTTTAATGTTGTATTTTTTGGGTGTTGTTTATATAAAGTAACAGTGAGAAGTATACATAGATGGTGAAGTGATACCTTAAAGAGATGTCTCATGAAACAACATACTTTTTCAATTTAGAGTCATAATCATGTGGTTGATGAAGCAACATACTTTTAATAATTAAAAGTTATTTAAAATAACTTTTTTCATAAAGAGTCACATCCATGTACTGCGTAGGTTTTTCTTAAATAAAACAATACAACTTTCCATCAACTGGTGGTTTATCACTTCTTCTTCTTTATTTTCAGTTATGACCTGCCATTAGTTGTCTGTAAAAACTAAAGAAACATGACCTTGGTTGGTTTGCCCATTCCATACACAACTCTTCATATAAATTCCATAGTTATAAGCATGTGACTTTTCCAAAAAAACACATCATGTTCATTTTGAAAATATTCCAACAAAGGGATATGTATAACTATAATGAGCTTAACGATTAATTTTGCAGATATTAATGAGTGCGACGTAAAGAATCGCTGCAGCAGAAGATGCCATAATGTGGAAGGAAATTATACTTGTTCGTGTCCGCCGGGTTATAGAGGCGACGGCTATATCGACGGATCAGGCTGCAAATTCCCTCTCATGCAAATTTCATTGGGTAAGAATACTAATTAATTCACCCTTAACGTTCGAATCATCCGACCAAATCAATCACACAAATAATTGATATCCTTAATTTTCAAAGAAATTATATATGGAGTGTAGCTAATGTTTTGAACTTTGTTTGCAGGCATTTCTTTAGCCTTACTAGTTCTATTCACATTTGTCTTCATATTATGCTGGGGACACAAGCAAAGATCACTAAAGCGACTTAGAAGAATGTATTTTGAGCAAAATGGAGGAAATTATATGCTGCAGCAAATTTATCGACAACAAGGACATACTGATAGGACCAAGATTTTTTCCGAAGAGGAGCTCAAAATTGCAACAAACAACTTCGATGAAAGCAGAATCCTTGGTCGTGGAGGCCAAGGTACGGTTTACAAGGGTATATTGTCAGATAACAGGCATGTTGCCATAAAGAAGTCCAGAATTAGTGGAAATCACAGGCAAATAAAGGATTTTATCAATGAAGTGGCTGTACTTTCTCAAATCAACCATAGGAATGTGGTTAAACTTTTCGGATGTTGTCTTGAAACTGAAGTTCCTTTGTTAGTGTATGAGTTTGTAGACAATGGCACCCTTCTTGAACATATAGACCCACTAAAAAACAAGAACTCTCTTTCATGGGAGACCCGATTAAGGATTGCTGCAGAAACAGCTGGGGCCATCTCATATTTACATTATGCTGCTTCTATTCCAATTATTCATCGTGATATTAAATCTACCAACATACTATTAGATCATAATCATAGAGCGAAAGTTTCTGACTTTGGAGCCTCAAAACTTGTTCCTCTAGATGAAACTCAAATTACTACAGTGGTTCAAGGGACATTAGGGTATTTGGATCCGGAGTACCTCTTCACAGGTCAGCTGAATGAGAAAAGTGATGTCTATAGCTTTGGAGTTGTGCTTGTGGAGCTAATCACCGGAAATAAAGCAGTTGAATTCAATAGGCCAGAAGAGAGAAATTTAGCTATGCACTTTGCATCTTTGATGAAGGAAGACAACTTGCGGAAGATTCTTGACAAGCGAGTGTTGGATGTGAAGAACGCAGGGCAACTAAAGGAAGTTGCTTTCTTGGCAAGGAGGTGCATTAGAGTTAATGGAGAGGAAAGACCGACTATGAAAGAAGTAGCCATGGAATTAGAGGGTCTAATTGCCGTGAAAAAGCATCCTTGGGTAAAGGGAGAGGATATGATGTCTGAAGTATGTGAATATTTGCTTGGTCACGTGGCTAGCAGGTATGGGAATGCTCCTGCTGGCACTTCAGCTGGCTATAATGGTGGCTATGGGAATGCTAGTGCCGACACTTTAGCTGGCTATGATAGCATACAGAAACAAATGGAATTTGAGATTGCAGATGGGCGATGATCATTTAATGTTAGTATTTGTCATGTGTTTTAGCTGCTACTCTTTCCACTCTGTGCCAATGTAGGAGTTTCAGGTAATTACATTTTTTTTAAAGGACTTGTAAGGATTTTTAAAATGTTCGGTTATTAAGGATAAAAGTAAGTTAACATTATCAAATCCCGAAGTTCTACGAGTTGACAATGATTTGAGTCTCTCTCCCCCCCCCCCCAGGTCCCGGTTATTTCATACAGAGAGAACATAATATGTACATGTTAAAATAATGACTAATACTTTTACCTTTAAAAAATATTAATTACTGAATAATAATTATTTTTTGAGCATTACAAACATCATAAATATATATATATATATATATATATAAAAGCGAGCCCTGATAATAATTCTCTGAAGTTCATCAAGATTTTTGGACATATATACAATTGATCGATGTGCTCTATCATATCTGTTTGTTTAAATAGTTACAAGCTCCATGCTACAAACTTGATGTGTGCTCAATAATGCATACGAATAATTAAGGCATATATAGAGTTGTTTACAACAAAATAAAAGGAAAAGTTACATCTAAGGACTCATACATGACAAAAGTTATATTATGATCATATTCGGTTGGAAGGAATTAATTTTTTGAAGAAGAAAAGAGGAGGAGAAGCCGATTGGGGGGGAAAAAAATAGCAGTACCTTACAAGTCCAAAATGCTCCATATACAGGAATGAGAAGGAAGGAGAGATGCACTGATCATCAGTATGATTCCAACAATAAAATCATAGGATGGATCCGGAGAGGGACAAAAGCATTAAGGTGCCACAGGCATCACGGTTTCAAACCTCAAGTACATAACACAGATCGATGAGTTCCATCGACAACAAGTTGTTTCAATTAGTAGCAGCGCCACACATGACGCTTAGATAAGGTCTTAAACTCGAACATATGTACTTTTAACATGTTTGCGTCCGTGCATATATTTTTCCTGTCCTTAGTATAAGATCTAATTATTAAGTTAATTTAGAAAAACATGTCATATTTCTTATAATTAACTAACTTATCTAACTTCTTTAATCTAATCAAATTAATTAAATATGTCTTATATTTATTATTTAAATTGTATACATAAAGAAGGGGGAAAAAAACAGATATAGATGTGTAGAACAGGCAAACAAGAGCATCAATTTATGCAGGGGCCGGACGTCGTCTGAATTTGGTGGCGTTGAACACAACCCTCAGCTGCTTCACTGCTTTGATACGTGTCAAATATTAATGGGTCTCAATCCCTATAAATAGAATCAGTACTGTATTTACACATATAAATATATGTGTCGAACGTGTGCTACACTTTACTGCAGAGATCATCGAGGCAAAAGGAGGCGATGGGTTAATTAAGGGAGGCACAAGGAGATCTGTGACTCAAGATCTTTGGCAGCGTCTGAAGGAAGGATGGGTGAAGTTAAACACTGACGGCTCCTCTAGAGGCAACCCAAGACCTGCTGGGTGTGGGGGGAGGGGGTTCATCCGAGACAGTGATGGTGAGTGGTTATGTGGGTTTGCAGAGCAAGTGGGCTTTTGCGGTGCTGTGGAGGCAGAAGAGTGGGGAGTTAGGAAAGGATTAGAGCTAGCCTGGAATTTGAGGCTTAGAAGGGTAGAGCTGGAGATCGATTCAGAAATTTTGGTGAGGAGGATCCGTGGGAAAGAGGAGGACGTGGGTTACATCCCTACTTTACTGAGAAACATCTTCGACTTGCTTGGGAGAAGGTGGGAAGTAAAGATTGGAGTGATTCGGCGGTCTGCAAATGGATGTGCTGATGAGCTCGCTCGATCGTGTTTTGGTAGACAAGGAGTTTGGAGGAATGTAGCGGAAGTGGAGTCAGGTTTCAGATCTGCTTTTCAGAAAGATAAAGCTGGAAGTCCCTTTCCTGGTCATACGGGGGGCTTAGATGGCAATGCTGGTATAGGATAAAGTTTTGCTTATTGGGCTTTGGCCTTCTTTGTAACCAAAAAAAAAAAAGATAGTTACAACGAGTTGAAATTACATAAAGTAAGAAGGAGAACCAGATATGTGTGTGTATACACACACAACCTGCAGTAATTAATATAAGAAGTAGTTTGATTTTCAATTTGATTCTTAATATAAGATCCTAATCTACTTTATCTTTCATATTTATTCATTTTTTATGAAGATAGTCCTTGTAGTAGTTATACATGTTAAAAGTTTCATCAGACATTAAAGATAATATACTTGGTTAGTAAGGGTATTTCAGGAAAAAAAATACTTATTTATTACAAATAACTAACTTAACAAACTTTTTAATCTACTCAAATTAGTCTATTAGCTCTTATAGTAAGAAACAGAATTAGTGTGTGTGTGTGTATATATATATATAGAGAGAGAGAGAGAGAGAAACATATCGAGTAAACGCGTAATTTTGGAAAAAATGGTTTTCTAGGAGATTTCCCAACACCCTAATAGATGAAGCTTTGCGTACTTGAATGATCAGGCTTTCACTTAAACGTGCCGACATAGAGGTGGCCTTCCGATGGTCTTATATTGTAATTAGCTCTCTAGCTTAGCTTAGGCTCCTGAGTCCTGAATATCTATGGGCCATGTTTGAGAGACTCCTACATTTTGTTGCCTAAAATGTTTGCTTAAGCCCAATACGAGAGTATATGTTCATAGAATAGATTATGCGTGTAACTATGAAACTTCGATACATAATTTCATTACTTAGAAGAATGTATGAACATATTGCTGAGCTACATTATATGAAGTCCCAACTTTTTTAATTCAAATACATGGAGATGACGCTTGGCGGAGAAAATAACAAGGATAAAAATTGCCAATAATAATTGGTTCAATTGATAAGAAATTGATTTATAAATCACAACATCGTGAGTTATAAATTCAAATTTTATTGTCAATAAGAGAATCTTATTGGTAGGTGATTTTTAAATATTTCTATAAGTTCTCTCTGAATTTAAAGGTATATTTTAACTCTGATGAGTCGACCCAAGACCCAACTCATCGAAACTTTTTTATACAAAAAGAAAAAGTACCTTTGAGACGGATCACCAGATTAAGCATGAAAAATCAGTAAATCTCTGCATCAAGGGTCTTCCTCGATGGGAATGCAAAAAGGTGCCGTTTTAAGTAAGTGGAGGAAAATTAACGGGAAGCTTTTTTCATGGGCCAAAAATTTAACGGGAAGCTAAGCGGAGAGTGGAGACATTCCACGCCCCAACGGAGGGGGCAATGACCATTCATGAAGTCTCTGTGGAAAAAATTAACAAAAGAAAAGTCAAGCAAAGGAAGCGACGAAGCGTACGTTAATTTTGACCGGAGTTTAAGAAGTAACCTATACCGGTCTCTTTGGCTCGATGGAAGGGAGGAGAGAGGAGAGATTTTAATAGAAGACTAAAATATATATTTGGTATTTTAACTTTATGTAAGATTTCAGTTAGTTCCTTAACTTTAAAAAATATACTTTTAGTCTGTTACTCCAAAATTGTTAATCTCAAATGATATTTTTTGCAACAATCATGATTGTTTTAAATATTAAACTTAATATATTATCATGTAATACTGTTTTATCAGCGTTTAAAAGCTTAATATCATCATTTTTATTAATAGTTTTAGAGTTAGAGGACAAAGTTTACTTTTTAAAGTTAAGGGACCAAAATAAAACCTTATGTAAAGTTAAAGGACTAAAAGTATATTTTGGCCTTAATAGAATGAATGGAAAGTGAGGGGATGAAAAAGATTTTAATATTACCTCATTTGAATTGATCCAAAAAAAATAAAGGGTAGATTTTAATATTTTCTTTTTTGGTTTAGAAGGGGAAAGACGGAAAAACATTTTTATATGGACAATTTTATCTTTATTCTATTTTAGTTGTTTTTATATTCCTACTTTCATAACGTTTAATTAAATACAATAATAAATTACATTTATTATGTAAAAGTATCCTTTATAAGTTATAACCAAGCTTCCCGTATACGTAGCACAATAATTATAATATATATGTAATAATAACTAAACTTAGTGTGTGTGTGTGTGTGTTATATACACACGTGCACACAACTCATTGAAAGAATAAGTTTTTATGGCACTATTACTGCCCGTTTGGTTCATTGAATGTGCAGTAATGGAGGGGAATGGAATGGAGTGCAATGAAATATGCATTAGATGAATGTGTTTGGTTCGCTGTACAATGAAATTTAATTTTTTTTAGTTTAATTAAATTTAAGTAAGAGTGTAAGGACAAAAATATCCCTAGCAAAGAAACTCTTCCATTCACCCAACGCCCTCCTTCTCTTGTCCACCGTCGGTCAAACAAAATAACAATCGTGGCTTTAGATTTTGAATAGGAAAAATTTGGGTTTGAGAAAGTCTTCACAACCTTCATTTGTCCCCTTGTGACTTTGGATCTGGAAGAGCAATCATGGTCTTCAAATTCGAGCGAGTTCTTCATGAATAAGAAATACACAAGGACAATGTGGTTCTAGTTTAGACTATAAGGTGTAGCCAATGGGGACTGTTGGCGGTGAGGAGAAGCATGCGGGTGAAAATTGTTTTCAATGTGGTTCGAAGGATGAAGCCACACCATGATGAGGATGAAGGGTGGAAAAGTCAAGAGTAGATTCTGAGCAGTGGTAATAGGGATTACATGAGTTTTTTAATGTAATCCAATTTTAGAGAATCATGATGCTACTATGTAATACCTATTACAAGGATGTTTAGATAAAATCAAAACTATGGTTTTAAAAGTGTTTTTACGGTATACGAAGTAAATATGTAAATGAGTTTATCTCGATTTACGAAAAAATAGTTTTCAGAAGCACTTTTAAAGCTTCCCAAACATCCCTTACATTATTTTGGACCAACCAAACATTAGAAATGTGGGGATGTATTAGGATTATATATAACTTCCATTCATGTAATCTAACCAAACGGGCTAATTAAACAATTTTTACTTAATATTAGGTGAGATGAGACAAGGAAGAAAGGAAA